AAGAAGATATTGTATCTTAACTTCTCCAAGGCCGCATGACTTTTGTAACTATGTTAAAACTACATTACCAAATGGATCAATCTTTGACCAAATTGGAGAGATAGAAATTTTTTCCATGGCTTATTTGAGGGGTAAAAATTTTTTCCATGGCTTATTTGAGGGGTAAATTGCACTGTTTTTGGTGGGTAAAGAGAAAGTTGATCATGAATCCCAGAAAACAAGTTCAATGAAATCAAATACTGAGATCTCAAAGTAGACTTGTGACACTTTCTTGTCAATTGTGTTGGACATTGACTTGGTGGGTAGACTTTACTCTTTTGTTTGTTTCCTTCTTTCTTCTATGCTTTTCTGAATCTTTTGATAATAAATAAGTGGGAAAGAAGACCCTTTGTAGCAGATTACTCTTTTTTTTTTTTTTAATTTTACAAATTTTGATCAATAAAAATTAATTTTAATTTATATAAACTCGAATTTTAATTCAATAATTTATATAATTATCCAATCTAACTTTTAAATCTAAATCTCAGTCACTACAATTTTGTTTTTTCTATTCCAAGCTAACGGCCTCTTCCAAAAAATTCTACAGTATTGTATTTGATTTTGACCATTTCAAGAATATTTATTTCTTTGACGATCAATGAATAATTTTTTGTTTGAAATTTAGTGAAAGCATCAAAAGTGAGCTATGACATATTTTCCCACTAACGCAGCACTCTTAAAGCAATCTTTACCAACTTTTGACTCAACTTTCTACGCGTTAGTTTTCAACAGTTGCTCCTGCTCAGTATAGATAAACAATAGTAGTTTAAGGAATATAAATTGGCCGATATCAGTATGAAGTTTTCAAGTCGTCTATGAAGGAAAAAATGAGAGCTGTTACAGTATTTCTTATAGGGTTTGTTACTATTATTGCTACTGGGATTACTTTTGTGTGGGAAATTCCAGGGTGCTTTGCATTGAGAGAGACAAGCCCTGTTAAAGTTCAAGCAAGATATCATTGATCGTTCAAACAGGCTATCTTCTTGGGGTGATGGTGGGGATTGCTGTAACTGGGTTGGAGTTTCCTGCAACAACTTCACAGGTCATGTCTACAAGTTGGACTTGAGGCCTCCTTCAAGTCCAGATTATGCATCATCAGATGCTGAAATTGGAGTTTATTGGCGCTCAATGCTAAGGGGAAAAATAAATCCTTCTTTGCTCTTATTGAAGCAACTGAGTCACCTAGACCTTAGTTATAACAACTTCGGTGGCATCCAGATTCCACGATTCCTTGGTTCAATGGAGAGTTTAACATATCTTGACCTCTCTGGAGCAAAATTTGGAGGAACCCTTCCACATCAACTTGGAAATCTCTCAAAGCTGGAGCATCTTAACCTTGGAGATAATAGTATTAACCGGTTGGTTGAAGCTAGAAATCTTCAATGGCTTTCTGGTCTCTCTTCCTTGAAGTATCTTGATTTGAGTGGAGCGGACCTCAGCAAAGCAACTGATTGGCTGCAGGTAACCAACAAACTACCTTCGTTGATAGAGTTACGTTTGTCAACTTGCTTTCTTGATAATGATCCTTCACCAATCAATGTTAACTATACATCTCTTTCCATTCTTGATCTTTCAAACAACTACATATCCCCTTCGGTACCCATGTGGATTTTCAGTCTTCATAAACTTGTTTCCCTAGATCTGAGTGGAAATGTCTTTGAAGGTCTTATTCCCAATAGTTTTCAAAACATGTCATCTCTCAGATTTCTTGATCTTTCCGGAAACTCATTCAAATCATCAATACCTGGTTGGTTGTATAGTTTGAACCATCTTGAATTTCTCAGTCTTAGAGGTAACTTCCTACAAGGCAGAATCTCGAGTGCCATTGGAAACTTGAGTTCCATTGTTAGCCTTGATTTGTCAGGAAATCAGCTTGAAGGAGCAGTACCAACCTCTTTGGAAAATCTTTTCAATTTGAGGCAACTTGATTTGTCAAATAACAAAATTGATCAGGAGATATCAGAAATTCTACAGAGCTTGTCTAGATGCTGCTCAGATGACTTGAAGTCATTAAATATGGCAACTAACAATCTCTCAGGCCATTTAACTGATCAACTAGGACTATTCAAAAGTCTATCTTACCTGTCTCTTTATCAAAATTCCATTTCTGGTCTCATTCCAATCTCCATAGGAAACCTGTCATCTTTAAAATATTTTGATGTGTCAGAAAATCAATTGGATGGTAATCTTCCTCAAAGTCTTGAACAACCCATGAACCTGGAGTATATGAACATTGCTTATAATCAGTTGGAAGGTACTGTATCAGAATTGCTCTTTTCTAGTCTCACGAGATTGAGAGTTTTAAGGGCATCTCAAAACAAGTTGAAATTTGAAGCAAACTCAAACTGGATTCCTCCTTTTCAATGTCGAACCATTGAAATGGGTTACTGGCTTCTTGGCCCAAAATTTCCAACATGGCTTCAATTTCAGAAGGACTTGTCTACATTAGACATATCCAGTGCCGGAATTTCAGATGTTGTTCCCTCTTGGTTTTGGAACTTTACTTCTAAAATGGTGTCTCTGAATATTTCTCATAATGGACTTGAAGGGGAGATCCTATTTTTGCCAGTGCATAAATTGGTTGATTTGAGATCCAACCGGTTCACAGGTCCATTGCCAGGAGTGCTCCCTGATGTGGCGACATTGTTTTTCACTAACAATTCGTTTTCGGGGTCTCTTTCACATTTTTTATGTGACTACAAATTAGGTAAACCAAAATTATTTCTTCTTCAACTTGAAACAAATCTTCTGTCAGGAGAAATTCCAGATTGTTGGTTGAAGTGGCGGGGCATCCGGGTTCTAAATATGGGAAACAATAATCTGACTGGGAAGATTCCGGACTCTTTGGGATCCTTGGGTTTTATGTTTCTAAATCTTAGAAACAATAAGCTGTCCGGGGAGCTACCATTGACCTTGCAAAATAATAGAGACTTGTTTATGCTTGATGTTGGTGAAAACCAATTCGGCGGAAGCATCCCAAAATGGATTGGTGAAAGTCTCCCAAATCTTGTGATTCTAAGTTTGCGTTCAAACTCTTTTGATGGCCATATCCCTGAGGAACTTTGTCAGCTCAGTTCCCTTCAAATCTTAGACCTTGGGGATAACAAAATCTCAGGTGCCATACCAAAATGCTTTAAGAATCTAACTGCCATGGTCACAAAACCATATGATACTGATGCTGTCATTGATTATTTCGTGGATGGGGAATTCATAAGGAGTGAATTATTGGTGATGAAAGGAAGAGTGGACGAATACACCACCACACTATCACTTGTTACCACCATGGATCTGTCATACAACAATTTCATTGGAGACATCCCCAAAGAGCTAGCCAGTCTTGAAGGGTTGCAATCGTTAAACTTATCAGGAAATTCCTTGAAAGGAAAGATCCCTGAGCACATTGGCAACATGAGGCTATTAGAATCTCTTGATTTCTCCAGGAACCATTTACATGGTTCAATCCCTGTCAGCTTCTCCAACTTAAATTTCTTGAGTCATTTGAACTTATCTTACAACAATTTGACAGGAAGAATACCATCAAGCACACAACTCCAAAGTTTTGACAAGTTCTCTTACATTGGCAATCACCTATGTGGCCCCCCGTCACTGAAGACTGCAGCACAAAAGTTGTAACACCTCCTAATGCTACAATTGAAGGCAGTCATGATGAAGAAAGTGAGGGGTGGTTTGAAAAGTATGGGATTTATGTAAGTGTGGTGATTGGATTTGTGGTGGGGTTTTGGGGGGTGGTAGCTCCTTTGTATTTGATCAAATCTTGGGGATTGGCTTACTACGAAAAGGTGGAAAGCATTCGTCGCAATTTTTCTGCGTTTAGAGATAGAATTTGAGAAATACACGGGGAGTACGACTTTTAGGCCCCATCATCCATTCGAATCCCATGACCTTTTGAAGGAAGTGCTCTAAGACTCCTGTGAGTCAATACGTAGAATGGGAGCCCAACAACTAGTTTTGGGCTTCTTTGTTGTAACAAAGTAATGTGTTTTACGAGGCTGGAGCGGAATCTGCTTCATCCTTTTATCTTTTACTCAGTTTTCTTTTTCGTTCTTTGCACTTTTGTTCACTAATAATAATCATCAAGTTCTATTGTTCAATTAAAGAGTTTTATATGATTCCTTATAGTATTCAATTCGACAGAGGTATTTAATGCTATAATTGATCGTCCAAGACATCTGGTTACTTTAATTTTGTTTCATAACGATAGACTATATATATCGATTAATTTTTTTTTATTGAAATGTAAAAAAAATTACTGAATTAAAATAAAATAATTATTCAAACTTTAATTGTTTTATTGCAATCAATTAATTCTTCAAACTTTTATTTTAATTTAATTGAGATTTTATTGGGCAAAAATTAAGTAACCACCATCATTAATTACATGAGATTTTTAAAATTCCTTGGTTCATAGGGTGTTTCAGATATTTTCACTTTATTTAGTTGTTACTTCTTACCCTTTTGCTTTTCAAGATACATAAAAAATAGATTGTGTCAACTACGAAAGATTTTCATTGGCCCTATGAAAGATACACACATATATATATATATATATATATAATTTTGTAAGACTTGAAAAGAATCTTAACTTCTTTAAATGTTATGTCGTGCCTAACTCCATAAATTCTGTCGACATTCCTGTCAATTTTGTTTTATCCTTTTCTATATATGTGAACGCACTGAACTGCGTAATTGACATCTAGGCACTCCATATTCCCTCAACAAAATTTTTTATTTTCAAAATTTTATTTTTAATTTAATTGAGCTTTTATTGGGAAAAAAATTAAGTCACCATCATCATTAGTTACATGAGAATATCAGAATTCCTTGGTTCACTAGGGGGGTTTCAGATATTTTACACATTATTTAGTTCTTACTCCTTACCCTTTTACTTTCAAGATAAATTAAAAATAGATTGTGACAACTAAGAAATATTTTCATTGGAATGACATTGAAATTGGAAAATTAAATATTTTACTTTCATATATATAACACATACATAAGATATTATAAATAATTAAATCTAAAGTTTAATTCAACTAATTCATATAGTTATTTCTAAAAATATATCATATAATAAATTTTAAATTAAAAATCTTCTCACTTATAATCTTTTTTATTATTATTTTTAAGCTGTTATCTATTTATATTAAAAAAAAATTCTACGTAATTCTTTTAATAAAAAACACCCTTCATATTGAATTATTATTCTTTTTTCAACAATTTACATAATTTTAACCAAACATGTATAGCAAAATTTGATTTAACAAAAAATAACTATGCCAAAATTATAAGCAAAAAGAATTCTACTTCTTTAATGTTATGCAATAACCTTTTTTCTTTTTTTTTTTTTGATGACTTGACTTTCCTGTCAATTTTTTGTTCTATCCTTTCTATACATGTGAAACTACAAAATTTCGGAGTTGACATCTCGGCACTCAACACCACGAGTGGCTAGTGGCTACAGTTTCATATTGTCGAGATAATAGGCAAATTTTGAGAATCTTAAATTTAGTAAACAACAATCATCTAACTGACAAAATTCCTACATCATTGAGATCTACGTCTTCTATGTGGACTAATCCTCCGTTGTTTGGAGAAGTGCATTCCATAATGCAAAATTTACTTTTTTGCTAATTCAAGATCTTATAATGAAAATTGATTCACTGAAATTATACCAATATTCATGGATTAGAGATAGGTTCTCGCAACTTCTGATTCTAAACTTTTGTTACTTTCATGTTTAAATAATAAGACTTAAACAAGATTTGATAAATCAGTCTATTATCGATTTAAGCGAAATCTTGAAGTTAACAATCAAATTCGGTTTAAATTGTAATTTAATTAAAACTAATTGATAGTGTACTATTAATTGAATATAATGTTTCAACAAAGAAAGTCATGATCCCACTGTAAAAAAGATTTCACTTTGGTATATGATGAAATTGATCACGTAATATTTATTATGTAGTTAAATTCCAATACCCAATTTTCCAATGCAATTGTGACTATTCTTGGATTGGTGAAAATTTTCTACAAGACTTTAATGCTTTTGCGGAAAATTCAAGCTGGATTTTGGAGACCTCGGAAAGCCCCTCGTGTGTGACGTTGAAAATTGGAAAATTAAACATTTTACTCTAATATATAGAGCACATACATAAAGTATTATACAGGATATAAACCAAGGCTTCTTTGACTTCAGGAAGAAGTTCTGCATAAACCATTGGCAGAAATGGATATTGACTCAGATCTGCAGAAAGTTTTACCTACAGAAGAACATGATTATGATAGAGAAAAAGAGCTGAAGGCCTTTGATGACACAAAAGCCGGTGTTAAGGGACTTGTTGATGCTGGTGTAGTTACAATTCCTCGAATCTTTTTCATGCCGCCTGAAGATACACTCTCTGCAAAGTTGGATGATCATGGTAGTTTTCAGGCTCCCATCATAGATCTAAGAGATCGTGCTGCATATGCAGAAACTGTTGAAAAGATCAGATATGCATCAGAGAAATGGGGATTCTTCCAGGTTATAAACCATGGCATCCCACAAGATGTCATCAACAAGGTCATTGCAGGTGTTCAAAGATTCCATGAGCAACCGAAAGAGGTGAAGATGAAATTTTACTCACGTGAGAAGGAGAAGAAAGTGAGATTTATTAGCAATTATGATCTGTACGTGTCGAAAGCTGCAAACTGGAGGGACACTTTGTATTGTGCCATGGCTCCAAACCCTCCACCTCCCAAAGAGTATCCAGTTGCCTGCAGGTAGACTATAGACATACTCTAAGATCTTAGCAACCTTATTTACACAATTATTTGTTAGAAAAATGTTGATTGAATCAAACTCATGAGCTTGAAATGCAGAGAAATATTGATAGAGTACTCAGAGCATATTCAGAGTTTAGGCCAAATTCTTTTTGGGTTGCTATCCGAGGCCCTTGGTCTCAATCCTTCTCACCTCACAGATATGGGGTGCATGGAAGGGCATGTCTTTTTTTGTCACTACTACCCAGCTTGCCCTGAACCTGACCGGACAATAGGACATGCCAAACACTGTGATCCTGACTTCCTTACAATCCTTTTACAAGATCAAATTGGAGGCCTCCAAGTGCTTCATGAAGATCACTGGATTGATATCCCTCCACTGGAAGGAGCTCTCATAGTTAATATTGGCGACCTCTTACAGGTATATACAAGTATAGAAATACAAAGACCCTGAATTTATACACTGTCTTAATCCTCTCTGATCTGCTTCCACTTTCATGCAGACTAAGAAAAAGGCTTGCTCTAACTAATTTATTTTTTGAACAACTCTGTTATTTCCCACTTCTTTCATGACAATCAAAGGCAGTTTTTAGTTTTATCAAGGAATATAATTTTATTTACTGTTTCAATGCAGCTAATCTCCAACAACAAGTTCAGAAGCGTTGAGCATAGAGTTCGGGCTAAGCGGGCAGGCCCAAGAATATCAGTGGCATGCCAATTCACCACACTTTATGAACCAACTGACAAGCTTTATGGCCCCATAAAGGAATTGTTATCAGAAGATAGTCCACCTTTGTACAAGGAAACCTTGATAAAGGATTATCTGTATTCCTTCTGCTCCTTGGGAAGTGACAACGATTCTGCACTTGCTTTTTTTAGATTGTAATGATGAAAAGAATAAATGCACACATATTGTAATATATGGGCAAAAGAATAAACATACACAGATTGTAAATTCCCTTCAAGTAATGGTTAATTAAGAGTTGCAGGACTCAAAATTGGGTTAAGTGCACAGGAAGCTACCTAAGCTAGGAGCATTAGTGGACTGAGCAACCAACTTGGAGTTGGGATATTCAGGAAAGGCAACAATTGTCTCACACTCCCAGGGACATATAATGCTTCTTACTGCCTCGCCATCACTGCTAAGAATTGTGGTAAGTTTTCCTTCTATTCTAAAATCAACCATGATTAGAATTTTTAGAAAACACAACCAATCTGATTTTATAAATTCATCAGAGCATCGGTTCCGCCACTAACATATTTTTATGTTTTGGTGAGAAACTAGAAATGAATGCATATGCGCATCAAGAAACCAAGCTGGTAAATTAGAGATAACTAAATTTGAATATATACATACATATATAGAAACCACAGGAACTCACCAGTTGCCATTTGATGTCAGAAAATTGAAAGCCAACATAGAGGTGTTTCCAACAGTTAAAAAGTCCAGGGCTGTTCTCAGCATCAATAGATTTTATCAGCCTTTTAGGAGGTTGCTGATTAGTTTTGTTCTTATTATGGGTCACTCTTCATGCTAGTAAGGCAGTAATGGTTTCCTAAAAAAAGTTATCTTCCCCTTTCCACCTAATGAGGTCAGTAACGGCTTCCTAAAAACTTTTGGTTCTAGTGCATTTTTCTCTTAACAAGGGCCATGATCAATTTAAGGACACAAAAAATACAAATTGGATGTCCTTTGTTCCAGTGCAGGATGATAAAGTTCAGGAGTCATGAAAGCTCTGTGGGAAGAATTTGAATAACTATTACGCAATTTACAACTATATCTTGCATCCTTTTCCCAATATTTAATGGCAACTGATGAAATATTAATCTCCATAAGCAAGCAAGCAAGCAGACAGTTCAAATTTTGCATTCAATGAAAAGATACGACAGTCACAATTAAACAGCCGAAAACCCTCACAACAATACATACCAGCACACAGCCTCAGTGGATTAGTCAGAAATATAATAAACTTGTTTAACTGCTAAGAATCTGCCAACATAGATTCATACCATCTAACAGATTAGGAGATAAATCACCATATAAGAAAACTTTGTATTGCTTGAAATGTTCCTCCTAATTTCAAACTATTGCATGAGATCATCAAGCTCCTATAAGTTTAAGCAGAAGATAATGCAGTTAGCATAATTTGAATTTTAGGCACCTTTATGACACATTTAAATATTTTGCATGCATATTGGATTCTGATTATAGAAAGGATGATATCATTAGTTGAATCAGTTTATGTACTAAATGTTAAGTATAAAATAAAAATAGAACTGCCTTCTGCCAATAATGGAACAGAGTAGTACACTAAGTTCATTAGCTCAAATCGAAGCCGTCATTTGGCAACAGAATGGAATGCATCTAGCTACAGGGTATTGAATTGAAGGCCATATGACTCTGACTTCAAGCAACATTATTAAAGTTCTGGATGGCCTGCAGTAATCTCCACTAGCAATCAAGATTAATACACCATCACTCACTTCCAGTTCTTTTCATTTCCAATCTTCATCACTCAATTGACCATCAGTTTCTTCTTTTGGTGGCCTAACGACCAACACCACAGTTCCTAGGCTCTCCTTCACGCCCATTTCCTTCAATGCTGATCCTCTATCCACATTCATCGGGCCACCATCAACCTGCACCAAATAAAACCCATCACCCAATACCACCTCCTTCCTATTCCTATCAGTAACCACCAAAATAGGCTCTTCCACATACCACCTATTTGCCTTCCGCGGTAAAACTCTCGCATCCCCAATGCCACTACAACCCCTCCATTCCTTAACCCAACAACCGATTCCCAACCTGGCAAAACCACCCACCTCTTCCACCCCTTCTCAGCCTCCACTACACCAAAACCCCCTACAGTTCAACATTCCAAAGCTGCTTCCAAAATCTCTCTATCCTCGTTCGGCTTACAAACCGGGAAAACCACCACATTAGTAGCCTCATCAACTTCACCAAACTTCATCCTAACAACTGGAACCCGAACCCCATATTCCAAATCATCTCCTTTCTCTGCCTTTTCATCCTCCCCAGCTTTCATCTCTTCCAACACCTCTCCTTTCTCTTCTTTTTCATCCTCCCCACCTTTCATCTCTTGCAACACCTCTTTTTTAGAACTCTCAGACTCAGCAACTTCCAATGCTTGCCTTAAAGCAGCAGTTCTTTGTTCAGAAGGATATTCCTATGTTCCCTACTTTGCCTATAATACATAAATGACAAACAATCCGGTGAAAGCTTATATTCAAAACTTTTCCAACCTTTATCCGTTTTCCTTCTTGGGAAATCCTTCATAGCCCTAGCAAAGTCTTGTACACCCTTTGAATCCAGGCTATTTTCAACTATATAACGAGCAGCTTCAGCTCTTTGTGAAGCACTTAAAGGTCTTATTTCGTAAAGCAATTCAGCACCACCAGTATCAAAAAAAGATACAACATTTTCATCAGTTTTGGATTGAATGAGTGACTCTCTTACCTGGGCAGCTACTATTAGTCTATTTTGTTCAACCCCAGAAATCCCAATTGATTCTTCTACAGAAGGAGGTGAAAAACCTTCCTGGTAAAAGGAAGGGATAAGTGGGGCATATTCAAACCAAAGTCCAAGGCGGCTGGCTAAGACATCCAAGCGAGCTTGTGGGTCAAGGGAATGGAATTGGGCTGGAAGTGGAGATGGGGGTGCGCTAAAGGTTGGTAAAGCTGTTGCTGCTGAGGCTGGAGGTTAGGGGGGATAAGAGTGGATGAGATGGGTTTAAGGAGGGTTTTAGAAGGTGGGAAAGAAAGATGGAAAGAAAAAAGAGATGGGTCTTGGATTAAGAATGAAGAAAAGAAAGGAGATTTGGAATTGGTGATGGGTTTGAGAGAGGCTGATGAGAGCATGTTGAGAAAAAATAAAGGCAGAATTTTTGCGGGAAAGGAGAGAGAAGGGAAAAAAGGAGAGCTTTGTAGTTGCAGAAGGTTGCCTTGTCTGAAAACTGAAATGCATGGGTTTTTCTTTGGGTTCTTTTTGAAAAAGAAGGAGCCGAAAAAAAGCGTTGTGAGAGAAGATTGGCCCATTTGGTTGGTGGTAAAAGTCAAAACTCAATTTGGCGCAGCATTTTCATATTGAGAAAGAACAGCACATTGGGTTTCCAAGTTTTTGTCAAATTTTTAATTTTTAATTTTCATTATTTTTTTTATCACTATAAAATTTAAAAATTAGAAACTTCATTGATATAATAAACATAACTAAGTCTCATTTAGTGAAAACTAAAAATATTTTAATGACATATTTCATATTGATTGAACTTACCATATACATAATAAGAAAAACTTATAATAAATATAATAATATCTCTTTTTGCATAATAAAAACAACTTAAAATCACTCTTAGTTTTATTTAATTTAAAAAGTAAGGAAAAAACTTATAATAAACATCGCTCATATCAAAGCAATAATTGATTTTCATTCTAGAAAATATAAGAAATCTAAATTAGTTCATTGGTTCACTTGAGAAAGAAGATACTGTATCTTAACTTCTCTAAGACTGCATGACTTTTGTAACTATCTTAAAACTATACGGCCAAAATGGATCAATCTTTTACCAAATAGGAGAGATAAATTTTTTTTCCAGGGCTTATTTGAGGGGTAAATTGCACTGTTTTTGGTTGGTAAAGAGAATGTTAATCGATCGTGAATCGTATAAAACAAGTTCAATGAAATCAAATTAATGAGATCTCAAAGTAGACGTGTGACACTTTCTTGTCGATTATGTTGGACGTTGACTGGGTGGGTAGACTTCACTTTTTTGTTTGTTTCCTTCTTTCTTTTATGCTTTTCTGAATCTTTTGATAATAAATAAGTGGGAAATAAAAGACCCTTTGAAGCAGATTACTCTTTCTTTTTTTATAATTTTACAAATTTTGATCAATAAAAATTAATTTTAATTTATATAAACTCAAATTTTAATTCAATTACTTTATATAATTGATCCAATCTATCATTTAAATGTAAATATCGTGACTATAGTTTTTTTTTCTATTCCAAGCTACCGCGGCTCCTTCCAAAAAAATCCACAGTATTGTCTTTGATTTTGACCATTTCATGAATATTTACTCCTTTGACAATCAATGAATAATTTTTTGTTTGAAATTTAGTGAAAGCATCAAGAGTGAGCTATGACGTATTTTCCTACTAATGCAGCACTCTCAGGGCAATCTTTACCAACTTTTGATTCAACTTTCTATGCGTTAGTTTTCAAGAGTTCCTACTGCTCAGTATAGATAAACAATAGTAGTTTGAGGAATATAAATTGGCCAATATCAGTATCAAGTTTTCAAGTCATATATGAAGGAAAAAATGAGTGCTGTTACAGTATTTCTTATTGGGTTTGTTACTATTGTTGCTACTGGGATTACCTTTTGTGTGGGAAATTCCAGGGTGCTTTGCATTGACAGTGAGAGACAAGCCCTGTTAACGTTCAAACAAGATATCATTGATCGTTCAAACAGGCTATCTTCTTGGGGTGATGGTGGGGATTGCTGTAACTGGGTTGGAGTTTCCTGCAACAACTTCACAGGTCATGTCTACAAGTTGGACTTGAGGCCTCCAACTCCAGATTATGCAATATTATCAGATGCTGAAATTGGAGTTTATTGGCTCTCAATGCTGAGAGGAAAAATAAATCCTTCTTTGCTCTTATTGAAGCATCTGAGTCACCTAGACCTTAGTTATAACAACTTCGGAGACATCCGGATTCCACAATTCCTTGGTTCAATGAAGAGTTTAATATATCTTGACCTCTCTGGAGCAAAATTTGGAGGAGCTCTTCCTCATCAACTTGGAAATCTGTCAAAGCTGCAGCATCTTAACCTTGGAGATCTTAACCTTGGAGATAATAGTATTAACCGGTTGGTTGAAGCTAGAAATCTTCAATGGCTTTCTGGTCTTTCTTCCTTGAAGTATCTTGATTTGAGTGGAGTGGACCTCAGCAAAGCAACTGATTGGCTGCAGGTAACCAACAAACTTCCTTCTTTGATAGAGTTACATTTGTCAGCTTGCTTTCTTGATAATGATCCTCCACCAATCAGAGTTAACTATACATCTCTTTCCATACTTGATCTTTCTGGCAACTACATATCCCCTTCAGTTCCTAAGTGGATTTTCA